ATAGTTGACTTCATCTACATGCCTAAATGTAACGGTTTCTGCTCAACTCAACACGCACCACCATCCAAATCACAACCTGCAACTCCTCTGTCGGCACCGAATCGTTGCGTCAAGACTTTCTCTGCCCTTGTCAAACTCAGACAACTCAGCAAAGCACAATGGTAATTTGCCTTGCCTTTGAGGGCCCCACAGCATCCGTCGATATCGAGGAGGCACTTTAAGTTGTCAGCGGGCTCTTATCATGCCACTTGCTGTGCCAAGGAGATGCCAAATGCAAGTCTATAAGGACTAATTAAAGCCCTTTCGATGCTTATTTCTAAATGAAGTCTTTTAGTGGGTCACTTAATCAATTAAATACTTTGGTGACAGTGAGGAGAACCAAAAGTACCCAAATAGACGATGGGGATTTCAAAGTGACTCTTAAGTGAATCGACTTTGCAAGTTCAGGTCTTTCAACGTCAGCTATAAGAACTCGCGAGTGTGCCAATTTGATTGTTCATGGGGAGAGGACGTAGAGATGGTGATGTGAGCCCTTGCAGAAGGTGACGCATCAGTCCCATTCTGCCATGTGTCTCGAACTGGCCATCATCTCGTTCAGCTACCATTACACATGGCTCAAACATTAGACCCGAAGATCAGCACAATGCACATATTAAGTTTCCCTTCGTGTCTCCATGTAAGCAGCCGTAAGTAAATGGAAGCCGCGCTTTTAAATTTTATTTTACCAAACGTTCATGGTGAATGGAAATGTCATTTTTGAGACGTTCGGAGGCTGCATGTTTTTTTCTTTTTATAATTAAGAGAGAGAATGAAGCCGTTCGCATTATTCAAAAGAATGCAGCTCTCTACTTCGACCCATGGTTTCGGCTCTTCCTCGTGCTGAAGCCCCATCTCAAGCACTTCCGTCTGGAAGAGGAAATCATTCAATTGAAGGTCCGTTTTGTTAAGTTCAAGAGAGGTGTTAGCATGCGATGTTGAAGGGTGTCACATTTCCGGTCGGAATGATGAGAACTTATCATGTGATTGTAGAGTGAGCTCGAAAAGTACAAGGCGATGGTCAACGTTCTGCGCTACGAAAACGTGGCCTACCAAGATAAGATATCGCGACTCCTCACACTTGTAAGTGCCTTCTATTCCGTGCTCATAAAGAGATGAAGAAATGCCAATTTTTGAATATTGGAATCCTCTCAAGAGCCTACAAATTACATCTGATAACCCTTTTTAGCTAGACCAGATGCACTCCGACGGTACAAGCAGTGACCTCATCAGTAAACTCATAAAAGAGGTAAGACTTGAAGCGTTGTTGACTAAGTTCACCGCGTTGCCACCACAATAATAGAGAAAGCAACATCCAGTTGCCACCACAACAATGTCTTGCACAACTGCAGCGCACCGTTTAAGTTATGCTGCTCTCTTACTTCTGGAAGTTGAAACACTTTCGATGCCTTCCAGTTGTCGATGGCTGTCGCCGATCACCAGAAGCAGTGGCGCTCAATGGTTGAAAAGCTGCCTTCGAGTGAATTGAACGGAGTTGCAAGTGGAATATCCGCCATCATTGGTCAAAATAGTACGTTTACGCCCTCATTCTATCAGTCTTCTAGCTGAAATACAATTCGCCGCCATACCACTATAAATTTACTCCCTTAGATGGGAGAAAATTAGTTAAGATGCGCAAAATGTCTAAGCATTTACTCCACATACTTGAAATTGATAATAAAAGGCATTCACGCATCGCCCACTGCAACGATTTACTGCAGTTTGTAGGGGGTTGAGGAATGCGTGCAATATGAAGCAGAGGTGAGCATCAGTCCGGCAGAGAGACACTTTTTCGTCCTCTCTACTGCCACACTCCACTGCAAGGTCGCATGAGCGCCTCTTGTGGGTGGTGTTTAGGGGAGGGAAAGATGTGTGGAAGTCAGGAAGGTGGATCCCATCTGCTGACATTGGCTAGTGAGGCAGTCGAAGGCATGTCACATTCGCTGGTATGACGACACTATCACGGGGTAGGAGGGCGGAGAGTGGGTGGTGGGAAGTGGAGAAGTAGTGCCCATTTCGTTCGCTCTCCTCTCGACCCTCCTGATGCTGATGCGTCACTGTAATGTGCCTTCATCAAAACCTTTTGAAGTGGACAACTGCAGAGGACATGGATCGGGTGCATGGGGCGTGGAGGTGAGGAAGGAGAGTGTGCAAAGTGTGGGTCCGACTTTTGCCTTCAAAGGCAACATAGGCCATGAAAGCGTGTCGTTGGGATGGAAGCAGGAGTTATAAGTGTTGCTCTTCCCAACCGTGAGGTGAGTTAATGAATGAATTCTTTTGACTACGTTGAAGATGCTAATGGCGCGATGGACGCGATGACAGAGAACTCGTACAAACTGGCCAAGGAGAATGCGGAATTCTATCGCGAGCAGTTGGAACTGCTACGAGAGGACGTAGAAGCGCAGAATGCCCGCATCAGCCAGCACTACGAAGAGAAGGTGAGTCACTGAGCCACTCTGCGAGTCCTCGTTCGCTACTCCTTTACTTTTTCAACCTTTAGTTTTCAATAGTACAAAATGCAAAGCACTAAGTTCATTTCATCATCACATTCCACCACTCAGCACTTGCAAGTTTAAAGGGTCTCCCTTGACGTGAAGTACCTAATCACTGCCAGTACGTGAAGTGAAACATTGCATGAAACGTGGCTGTTCCAAATCTGACCTGACAAAGGATGAGATAATTACAAAAAATGCTGGAAGTGTAATAACTATGCTTTCACACGTAGCATTTGAGAAGCATAAAAATGTCCATCATACAATAATGAGCTCCTCTACGCCTCCCCTTCTTCTTCTTCTTCTCTTCCATGCTTCTCTCTCATCCGCTTACACATGGTTCCAAATTCATTTATGCGTGCCCTTAGACAAAATAGAAGACCTTCCTTGTGTTTCTAACTTGATTGAACCTCAGTTACTGTTAAGCCCAAAAACTTTTCTGAGACTTCACGACACGATTCGGATCACGTCTCTGCCTTCGACACTGTGCTTCTTGAAAGATAAGTTTCCACTATAAAAGGTGCGTCTTTACTAAAGCAAAGCCATAAAGAGGGAAATCTGGACAATTCATAACTAACTTGGTGCTTTCTAACGCATGTCTAAAGCCGTCATGACCTACCAGGACGAAATCTTATCCGCCCAACTAATTTTCAAAATTGATGTGACTATTTCATGGCCTTAAAAGGACGTTGACAACATTTCTAGCGCTCTTTTCAAAGCCGTCGCTTGTCCAATGCGCAATTTAGATTATCTTTGCTTGTGATTAAGACATATCATCCATGAGTAAATAGAACGCTGTCGGAATAACAGTATTCCCAGAAAACGTCGGTATCACCTCAGCATCAGCAGTTCGGCCGGTCGATCTTTGCATTTTGTGGGAAGATGTCCTCATCCACCGTAAATTGAGTCGCATTTCTTATGTTCTTATGTTCTGCTGGCTGTGGTAAGGGGCCAAGGAAACCGGCACTTCAAAAAGTGTGTGTGTATAGGTACATTGAATAGATGCAGAGTTGATTGCGTTCCATTGTGTACCTCGCCACATTTTTATAGTCTCACATTTATGACTTCTGTTTTACACTTTTCCTAACCACCAAATCGCTATTAGTGCGCTCCGCATGCGTCACTTGCATGTCATCTCCAACGCTGCCTTCATGCCCCTGCCTGTGGTATTATGGTGGGAGGAATAATTTTCTGCTCATTGTGGGAGTTCTGATGTGAGGTTAATGACGCATTAGCCCCAGTGACTATTTCAAATTTCACCGGCCCTGTGAGAGGCTGCGCGGGTATGTCCTCAATTGCAGGCATGCTGCACACCTTGAACTGACCTCGCCCCATCGACCATCGCGGGCAGTGGGTCTGGGAGGAGCCAATGCACTCATGCATTTCACATAAACATAATCAAAGCTATTCTAAAAATTCTCGCTAAATATGTACGACCATTTTGTCTATTTCATTGATAAAGCAGCTAATTGACCCTTAAACATCTAAAAGCATAAAATCGTCCTGCACAAGAAACATTGTTGATAAGTTAACCGAAGTGTTATAGAGGAGTACTCATTTCATTACGTTCGGATGCAGATCGGTGTGCTGTCAGAACGGGTGGAACAGCTGCAAAATATGCTGACTCAGGAGAGCTTCCGTGTGGAGCGCCTCAACGGAGAGCTGGATGCGGCTAACGGCCAATTGGTAGAGGCGCGAGAGACGGAGGACAACCTCACCAGTATGGTAGACAGACTGAAAAATGAGTTGGATAGACGTCGCCTCGTCTCCGCCAGTGAGCCTGGTACTCCTGGCGAGCCCACCATCGTTGCCAACACCACCCAGAACGCCTACGCCGCCCCTCCACTTCCTACATCCATAGAAATGCTTAATGATGTGAGTCACCTAACACTCAGATGCTGTATTAAGACCAGATAGAGTCCGACTAAAGACCCTGTCAATTATCCAGCAGAGACAGGGAGAACAGATGAGTGCCTTAAGGAAATTGGCAGGAATTCGCAGTTTCCTCTCAGAGAATCCGGAGATCTATGAAACCCTGAAGGATACTCCATTAGGTCAGGGCGGTGAATATGACATCCTCTCTCCCAACGATAGGGTGGAAAGTGGTTCTCTCGGCGTGGATGGGGGCCTTGGGCACTCGATGAACTCAATCTTCCATTCACAGTCGCACATTGAGAATTACCACCTGGGTCGAACTCAAGAGATGGACAACCGATATGATACGCTTCAGCAGAAGCTGGATGAAGAGATTGGATACAGGGAGGATCTGGAATTGGAGGCGCAAGAGATGCGCAACAAGATCTCCAATCTGCAGCGTCAAGTGAGGCGCCAGCGCGACGAGCATGAAGAAGAGTTGGTAGAACGGGAACAGGCACATACTCGGCGGATACGCGAACTTGATGACATGATCGACGAACTGACTCGAGAGAAACAGGATCTCGAGAAACGCTGTCTCGAGTTGCAAAATAAGGTGGAGGAGCTTCGTCAATCTCCTGATCTAAGTGATAGCGAAAATGGTATGTCAATGCGCCTTGCGAAACGATGTTAGCAAACTTTGGTGTGAAATGCACCAAAATGTGTTAAGACGATTTAACTTGACACTCGACGCGCAAATGAGATGCTCACACTGAGTAGTGCATTTTACCCAACAATCACATTCAGTAGGCTTTATGCAAATATGATCAAAAAGTCAAGTATCACCAGGATTCTCGCATCCTTCATTGCGTGCTCTTTGATGAGAGGAGTGAGTGGTTTGAAAACAACGGGATCAGCGTGATGATGTAAAGGATCGGTGGTTGGATATATGTAGTGGAAAAGAAATAATGTGTTTTATTTTTGAAGGCATTGACGCAATAAAGTAAAAGGTACACTTTGCTTGAAACAATTATTTGAGGAATTTTGATGTGCGTAAGTATCACGAGTTGATATAAACTTTGGTGGTGGCGTCTTCCTCCCCTTGGGCAAGATGGATCGAGTGTTATTGTTCGTCTCAAATTCTTGTTTAAGGTGGTGACGAGCTCCGCGACACACAAGCCAAACTGGCTGCTGAAAATCGTCAGTACCAGAAGGAGCTGGATCAAATAAGGGAGGACTTTGAGCAGTACAAGCGCGAGAATAACACACAGGAGCTAAAAGAACAGGTAAACTGGTCCTTTATGCGCAAAATGATGCGTTCATCGTTAAGAACGAGGGACTAATCTCTTTACCTTCCTTCATTATTCAGTTGGCTGAAAAGGACGAGAAGATATCTCAGCTGGAAGTTAGCCAACGTCACACAAGCTCAGATATGGAGATTCTTAATGTTCGACTGCAAAACGCCAACAAACTTCTCGATGACGTAAGTCACGTGTAAGGCTGCTTATTCGCCTTATTTATCTGAGCGCATTCCCCAACTTTTATCAAAATAAACCATAGAAACCCTAGTTTATTGCAAAACTGGCTTTTAATAGCACAGGTCTGACTAACAGCGCATGCATGGGACTAACTTGCGCGAAGTGGGGCGAATGAAGCACGCCAAAGGCGTTTTGTCGTGACGCGTGCTTGATGAAGCAACGCGACTTTGTGCCCCAAGGCAACGGCTGATGCGAGTCATTTGTTCAAACTTCTTTATGTAAACTATAAGAGATGCGTAAAACCAACTGGAATTTCCTCTACTGAATGAACTGGATGAAACTGTGACCATTACTAAGGCACCAAAACTAATCATAATAGTTCCAACTGCAAAACAGATACAACGTTTCTACTCATACGTAAGCAGTAGATGTCATTACGACACCGATTTACAATTTTTTAAAGTAGCTGAGGTTCTTTGTGCAATGAGTTTAGGTGGAAAGTGATAGTACACAGTGTCATAGAGAGAAGTCGCTTTTATGAGTGTCATTTGTTTCTAGGACGAGTTGATTTAACAGTTAATAGGAGTGGTCATTTTTATGGAATTATTTTTAACAACAACATGTAGAACGAGCAGCGCCTACGCAGCTTGACGAAGGAGCGACAGGGTCTGATGCATCGCATCTCTCAGCTTGAAGGAGAGCGTGATGCAGCTGTACGTGAGGCAGCCTCTGTAACTGGCAAGGCGGGCGCAGAGCGCGAGGCTTCGGTTGCGCGACTGCGCGAACTGGAGGATCTCAAACTTGAGCGTGCTGCTTACCAAAAGGACTTCACTGAGATGAAAGTAAGGCTACCTCCCATAATTTACACTTGCTATACAAGTTTTTAATGGAACTTTTACTCCCAACTGAGTAATGCGCCCCAATAACGTAAAATATATTCTATAATTGTTAAAGTCTAATAAGCCTTTACTTAGTCTGGAGACTGCCAACTAACTTATCGTGTCAAACTCAGTCTTACTGTTTGATATTCAGTTGCATCTCATGGAGACAAGTACGAAAGCGGAAGCAGAGAAGCACGCCTTAGAAAAACGTCTAAATGACCTTGAAACCGCATCAAATAAACGGGAGACTGATCTTAAAGCCGACCTTGATGCGTACAAGGAAAAAGTGGAGAATCTTCAGGTTAGTAAACTATTTTTTTATGCTTACACAATTCTAATGTGATGCTCAAATTATCAATAAAAGTTTTCAGAGCACAATAGCATTCCATGCCATTTATTATGTATTTGGTTCACAACGATGGGATTATATTCTTAATACACAAGTTCGAATTCACACACACTGAATAAGATCGAGTCCCATGAATGATGATTCTGAAGTTGTCCTCACTGTGATTAACTGTAGCAAGAGTTGTCGGAGCTACATAAGGTGGAGTCGGCGACATCAACAGACAACCGCCATCTAAAGCGGCGGATTCGTGAGCTACAGGATAGCGTGGATACTTACACACGACGAGTAGCAGAACTGGAACGTCGCAACGCGGATCTGAGCGCAGAGGTGGAACGAACACGAGCCAGCTTAAGCGCAAGCCGTGAGGCCGCGGCAAGTTTGCTGCGTGACAGACAAACCCTAGCTAGCGAAGGTTACGACTTCTCCGCCACTGGTCCGGGCACCGACACAGTAGAGTACTCCGACGACGAGGAGGCTGACGTGTCAAATAGCATCGATGAAATCACTGCCTCAACTAGAGACCCCGGCCGACGTAGCGCTTCCTACTATGGTGGCCTCGGTGGCACCCAAACAGTCGATCGTTATCGCAATAGTAGTCGACAACGGTAATACTTTCCCCTTATCCTACCTCAGTTTAGCTCATTAACCTTCTCAGCACTGTTTGGTTTGTGTCATTGAACATTGATGGTCCTGTCCACTACTTTTGAGCGAAATCTGAGTACTGTAGGTTGGTCAAAATCGAAAAGGAAGAGTCGTAAATGACGAAATTTCAAAACAGTTTATGCGCTAAGCTAATACGATAGGGGTAGAGGCACTTATCAATACAAAGTTAATCAAATACCGTGGATGCATAGATCTACAGAAATCCTTGATGGCCAAAATCGTCCCAACGCAACGCCTATTTTCCATGACCGAATTCGCTGCATTCATTTCAGTCAATCGTCGCGCTCCACATCGAGATCACGCACGTACAATCGAACCCAACCAACGTCCCACCGCCAATCCGTGCCAGCTTCGGGATTGTCATCAAAAGACTTGTCACCTTTATTACCCCCTCATCCGTCCACCAAACCCGAGGAGTCGGGCCAACGGAGCGAGAGACCTTACGACTCAGAAAACTAGCAACCCCACAGACAGTCACCACCGTTTCATCAAGCCCTGCTCCCACCGCATCATCGCCCTGAGCGCGTTACAATATCAACAGCCAATCACCACCGCTACTAACAAACCGACTCCTTCAATCTACCGCATATTTTGCGATCAGCCTCATTGTGCTTCAAAGAAACGTCTCCTAGTACACTACCGCTGCTTCCTACAAACATGTCCACAATGATGCTTGCCTTAATGACCACTTTTTGCCCGCCAAGCAAGCACCACCGTTAAGGTGGGCAAGTAGCTAAGTCCTAGTTTAAGGCTTTTCCAAAAGAAAACAACTAACTGGCAATTTCATCATAGAAATTTAAGAATCCAGTGTGAATGTCCTATAAGTCCACAGACAAGAGCCTAGCATTGCGTCAGACGCCTCCGATAAGAGCAAGGGGTGGACAACCCCTGATAAACTTTTGTGCAAGTGAAATCTTCCTCATAAAAATGAGAACAGAAAATTCAAGCTGTCAGGCACGAAGTGGATCGTTTGGGCCCACATATCAGTAAACGAAACTGAATGCATATGGGAAAGGAGGAAATAGACTTGATCGGGCTAATGGAAAAGGGAAATCAAACACAATTGACACGTAGTTGCAAAAGTCAGAGAATCCTCAAATTCTGCAATGATGAGCATACAAATCCAATGCATGGGAAATTATGCATCCCACGTCTGTGTACGGGTAATCCTGGAAAGGAGAAAAAATAGTGTTACTTTTCCTCATTTGTAGCATAGTAAGCTACGTCGTCGTTAGCGAGGGAGAATAAGTATTTACTCCAATGATTAACAACTGTTCAAGCAAAAGTGGTCATGGTAAGAGCTTTTGCGTGTGAGTTGGGCTACACCAGCTACGCATATTCTATAGTGGTTTTGCCGAATATTTCTTCAAAACGAAATGAAACTGCGTACCTGAAGGAGGCGAATGGCCTGAGGAAAATCACAATCCAACAACCGGTTTCTAACTAAGCTGTAGAAGAAAATTGGAACCTTCAAAATCAAACTAGATACAAGAATAACCGTCTACAGCATAAATCTGCCAAAACTTTAAAATCAAGAAAGTATAATTTATTTACAGGTAATTGGTATGATCAAAAGGCACGCAAGTAAGAAGGTCCAACAAACTGTGCTATAGTACATGAGCATTGAGCAGCATATGTACAAGACCAGATCAAATCGATGCTTATCAGCGAGAATGCAGTCCCACAGTCGAAGGACATCTTAAAGAAACAAAAAGAGAATCAAACCATAAGACTCCAGTCGCATGCGAGAATCCCCAAACTACATTATTCGAAAATCAACTCGTTATAATGACTCAATAGTGGTGCAGAAGCATCTTAATGCCATAAACGACGATCACCTGGAAGGAGGAACTCGCGAGCGAGCAAGAGGGTGATCCAACGTAAAGCGAAATGTGCGGGTTCCAGATGGAGTCGATGAAGGTGATGAAGAAGTTCTGAGTCAAAAACTTCCAACAGCTTCACCATCTGCTCCATCTTGCTACCTAAAATACGCGTTGGGATCAGTTAGAAGAAAAGACGCATTAAATCTTGGTGAAAATGATGTAGACTACAAAGTAAAAAACACAAAACTGCTACGACTTTCCTTTAGTGTATAACCGAGGGAACGACACAAACAGTGCACAGCTTACCAATCCCAATGTCTTGATCGAAGTTGCGATTGAAGACACTCTGAATTTCCGCCATCAAATTATAAAAGCAGAAAAATGTATCCGCTTCGGCATAACCTTAGGAAGACAAATGAAATTTTGCTTTGCATATATGCACAACAACCACGGCATCAAAAGCATATTCCAAAAGGACATCGTATTTGATCGTGTCCGTGTAAAAGTTTACACAAGCGAAAACGTTTACTTGATAACTTTTACAATGACATCGGTAAACACACCTTAGAATCACAAATATGTTCAAGTGTTCTTATTAATTAGTTGAAATCGGATGTGGAAAGCTGATTAAAGTAGTTTTTAGAAACCTTCAGCCAAGTAAACAATGGTATCTGTTCCGAAAAAACATGTGTTACTACAATGATCTGTAGAACAAAGTTTACGTACGACGTTCTTCAGAATCGGGATGGTTGGCGAAAACATAGTAGATAGGGCCAGCCACTTCGTTCATGCCCTGAACATAGGAAGAACCTTTGTTAGTTTTGTAGAAAATGAAAATGATGCGTTGCACCACCTCCCAGTGCATCTCCAAATGACCAGGTAGCTCGTCACACTGCGCAGTGTCGATGGACTCGCCTTTCACGAAAGACTCGTTACATGCAGCCTGCAATAAAGAATTCGAACGCCGGATGCTGTCGCAACTAGTAACCAGCTTCAGGGCGCCAACGGTATTGACTGCAACGTCATGTGACTACAGTGACAAAAAATCTTGGCCTGTAAGGCATAATACAGCATAGTACGAAGTATAAATAATGAAGAATAACAATGAGACCCATCATCTAGATGGCCCGTTCCAGAGTAGACCAAGGACATAGATCAAATGCAACAACTCCATGTGACGTAAAAGGAGGAAACAAACAAGCTCAGTCACGAACTCCTAAGGGTGGCAATAAACAAAGTGGTTACCAGGATTGCTCACACGAGTTAATTCAGTTTCAATTCGACTGCGCAAATCGGAAACGCTGACATTTACAGAGAATGCTTCGTTACAAGGATACTGTGTTGGACGTCGAAAAAAATCAAGTTCTGGATACAGCCGACGACAGTCCTTATTTATTTGCAGCAGGATTCTATTGTCATCAAAGTAGTCACGCCAATTACTGCAAGGATCGCTATTCAAAGGCTAAGTATTCGAAGCAACTATGAATTACATGATCGGCGGACTTTTCCAACCTTGACCTGTTGGCCACGAATTCGACCAAGAAACCCTCATACTCCTCTCGGGCTTTCGATAGTGTGCTATTCCAGGCGGACCTTCGAGGGGGGAGATAATTCAGAAGCAATTTCCAAACTATGGACCTAATTTTATTGTTCTCTGGGCAGCCTACAAGGCAAGCCTTCCTCAACTGATCCAAATCAACTAGCTCAGATTCCAATATGCCCTGGAAGACCTGCGATCTAAACTATCAGCCCTGGTTAGAGCACGAACCGTGATTCTCGCATTGCCGGGTGAATTAACTAACATGCATAACAAAAACAATAAAGTACACTAGTATTTAATGACAAAATTATGAAATGCTGGGCATACGTCTAGTAATTTTAAGTTAAAAAAAATTATGCCAAGCCGAGAGAGCATATTATAGCCTTACTTCATATTAGGTAGTATATAAAACCTTTCACAATTAAATTTATTTTAGCCTAACTTGTGCGTTACTACTTTTCTACCCTAATTTTTTATTTTATGGTCATCTGAAAACAAATAAAAAAATCAAGAATTAAAACTTAATGTTGGTTGCTTTTTTTGACAAATAGTTAGATAATTCGAAAAAATGTTTTATTAGAATAAAAAGCTGTATATAGTTAAGTAACGTTTGTAAATTTGACTTGTTTTACTTGACCAGTTGTGGTAATTGCTATGTGAAATAAACTCGGCGGGACATTGTATGTGAAAATGCACAAATTAAATCTACCAATCGACAAAAAGGAAGCAGCTGCAATCGAGAGACGTAGGATAGCTGAAGAACAAAGAAAAGCCAGGATTTTCAATGAGCGGATTAGACTTATAGGGGTTAGCTTGAAAGTCATATTGCGTGTCACACTTTTGCACTTTCACTCCAAACAATTAAGGCGAGCATACTCAGCGTTTTAAAATCTTCCTCCTGTCAACTTGTTTTAGAAATATTTAATGTTGTAGTTAGGCGCAACACTTATTTCTAACCCGTAGTTTCTTCCTTTGTTAATTGCTCTTGAAAAACATGTCTAATGCGTAGATGGAGGCATTACGACTGTTTGCCACAGTTTGTCCCATGCATCATTTTATAAATTTCAAGAAGGGTGATGTTTCTATACCGTAGAGTTTTTTGGAATAATTAGACCTTTGGTACTAGGAGTATTTCGAAAGTGCGGCAGGCTGAGAAGGCTTCTTTCTTTTTTCTTGTTGAATATTCTCGTATTCAACGTCAAAACCCTTGCGTATAAGGATAGGGTGATCTCGCTAAATGTTGTTTAGTCAGATAGATGCATTTTCTGTCTTGTTTTGCCTTCTTGTGGTGTCATGCTCTTTAATGTGGGGTTGACTGCGTGAAATAACAAATATTGTTTATGTTTGTAGTCTTTTTAACTTCTGGTAAGTATATTGACGTTCACAACTTGAGGGTTTCTTCACTCAGGTTGACGAGAGTACATTGGCACAACAGGTGAAGGATAAGAAAGAGCGGGAAGAGCTTGAACGTTGCCAAGACATCGCTTACGGTATGTTGACACTTTTAATAACAGCAGTCCTCAGTTTTTTGCATATTTTACCGAATAAATGTCTTCAACGATTCGTTGATGCTGGTAATGAACAAAATCTAGCAGATTCAAGACTACTGTACATTATTATCATTGATCAAATGGTTGATCAGGTAAAGATGCTGAGCGCAATGACAAAATTGCAATCCTTTTGGAGAGACGTCAGCAGAGAGAACAGCGAGAAATGAATCGGGCCTTGAACGAATTTAGACTGCAACATCAACAGCCAAGCTCTCGTCGTGAATTCGACCTCAATGACCCGGATGCAAAGAAAAAGGATAGACCAGCTCGCATTTCGGATGATGATCCGAGATGCGGGGTCTCATCAATACAGAAGTTTGTCGGCGAGGATCTAACGAAAAAATCGCGTGAGAAGTTTCAGCAGGAACAAATGCAGAGTTGGTTCGATCAGCAAATCGAAGAACGGAATAGGACTGAATGTGCTAGAAAGCATGATGAGCAGTAGGATTTACCTCCTTTAAATTTCGCTACAATGAGCAAAACTAAGCATTATTTAAATAATGCAGTGTTTTTTAAATGCGGAAATAGCTTTAAAATCGCTGACATTATTTTATTGCATTGTATTGGCAAACTAGTATCAATGCGATGCGGTAGCATGATGGTTGACATAAATTGTTTTCTTTGCTAACTACACACTAGCAATTTAATAAACTTCTGCCAGACAGCATCGTCTTTAATAAAGAGGAGATATGTTTGCCTAACAATTTCTTAAGTCGCAATACTAGATTCTTTGTTTTGGAATTGTAAAGAGCATCAGAAATCAGGAGGTATGTTAAAGCCTTGGTTGCACCAGTCCTTCCAGTAGCTACACCAGAATACTTTTTTAGATAGAAGAATGGGTGGCTCGAACATTCAGGTCTTCCACCATAGGTAGAGTTGTGTTAGTGGTACGTATAACAGATTTTAAACTAAACTTTTTTCGTGATGCTGATCAGCAAGTTGTTATTTTCAGTTCTCAGTCTGTCTTTTGTGCTAAGGTTATTTCACCTATCCTACAAATCAAATATTAGATGAGGCGTGGTTTTATTCATGTTTGGCTATTTATCCCGAGGCTATATATGTATGCATAGGGCGCTGACGAGGACCCTATCAGCAAACTGGTGATAAGTGCTTCTCTGCAGCGTTGATTGATGGGCTAAAGAAGCGCGCCAAGCTTGAGTTATGGTTGTTTGTTCACTTGAAGCCTGCGGGCGTTGTATGGGCGGACGATGGATGGACGCGTACAAGCAATGGCGCGAGCTGAGGCGGCGTGCCGCCGCGCGGTACAATGTGCAGTGCGCCGCTACAATGAGGCGCTTGCGGCTGAGCGCGCAGATACAGAGCGAGCTCAGCGACGGTGCGAGGAGGAGGCGAACGCCTGCGAGATCATCAATTGCATTAACTCCGACCTCCTTACTGAAAACCCCGCTCAGGCCATTTCTGCCTTTGGACCGCATCGTATCTGCCCTGACCGCTACAAAGGCTTTTCACCCGAACAGCTTGCCGAAATCCGTCAGAAACAGTGCCTACAAATTCGCGAGAAAGCGGTGCGTTTTTCTTGGTTTTTCCAAACTCCTTTTTATTCTACACAAATTTTGATTGGACGTTGAACTCTTCTTATTATTCAGAAATCCACCCTCACTTGGTATATGGACCTATTGTGGGATCGGATTTCATGTTATTAGGTGTTAATACTAATAATCAAACATTTCGCTTCAAATATTTAATAAAGGAACCTTTATTTTAGCCACATAAAACGCACAACACACATCGAATTAAATCCCATTATGTGAAGGTCCCGACAGATGAATCGCATTTGTGAGAACAGATTACGCAATGAAATGAAATTTTACCGATCTCGACTCGTTTTTCCTCAGGCAATTTTTTATGTGTCAGCTAAATGGAGACATTTTTGCATTGAAACAGTGCAGAGAAGCAGAGGAGAAGCAGTTAAACAACCAAATCGACAGTGAACGTATAAAGGCGAGCAGAGTAAGTCTAGTCCTCGAACGAAACCTGGAACAGCAGGCTCGTGATTATCGGAAGAGGGTAGCTCAGGAAAACTTGCTACTCGCCAAGGATCAGAAGACCTTTCAAAAGTATCTCAATGAAGAGGTGAGCAAATATCTTGTGGAATTCCCATGCTCTCATTATTGCCCTTCTTCGTACGATGCATAGCTTTCAAGTCATTGACCACTTTTTAAGCAAAATTTCCGTTTTGGACAAAATTCTTCTAAAGACAAAGAAAAAAAGGGTATTATAACACTTGGACAATTTGAATAAGGTTTTATCATAGTGATGCTTCTCAGTCTATCAGTGGTTAATGCAAATGCATAGCTAAATTTAAGTTCTACATGGGTTATCAGTCATTTCTCTAAACTCACAGTCTTTGTATCCACTTAAGGTGTACAAGTATCAGCCAACAGCAGCCTACTTCGCACAGTTCAACACCACCTCCCGCTAAGATGTCGCCTCTTTTGGGACCCGCGATGGGGTCGATCGTACATAAAATTTCATCGAGAAAGCGGCAATTCATTAAACCAAACGTTCCCTGTTACAATGACTCACATAATACATTCTAGGCTCAATTCGCCTTACTAGCTCGTGCATACATTCTAATACTTTCTGCAATAACACTGAAGTTATTTTCAAAACGTCACAAGCTGTACAAATATAGACGAGGAATTTTCTGAGGGACGCTCAGTAAAGCAGGATTCGATATCAGGATTATGCACACCGAATGAATTGATTAGAGAGGCGGAACTAGCTATCACAATTGTGCTCAGGCTGTGGGTCCCGCTATTTGTTTACGCAACTCCTCAGCGTTATGTGGCTTCAACCTCTGAGGATCGCATTTGTGCCTTGTCAGAATGATATCGAGAATCTTGAATAGCCCTTTGACTAGGTCCCTTAAAAGGTGAAATTTTGGGCCTCAGCCAAAGGGCCTATAGAACATGCTTTCGAGCACCTACGCAATACTTTGTTTAGGTAACTGCCGTGCTTATGTGAGCCTTTGAACCAGGCTGAAATCTAATCCGAAGCTTCTAGAGACTTTCCATTACGCAGAAGAAGGCATTAAGGGGAGTTGAACAAACACATCCAAGGAGAATGGGAAGAAGTTATGCTTTGACTTGGAGCGAAGGCCAGATTTAGCAGTCAAGCACAGCCATACTGTTAGTCAGTCAAGCCAATAAATGTTTCCTAAGTTCCAAGAAGTCATAACAGCGAGGCAGAACTACTTCCATAGACCATTGCAGTACATTCCACTAGTAGGCTGTAAATGCATTATACTATAATATGAGTGCAGCGTCCTAAGATTTCCCACCGAGTGGAAGAAGGCAGTAAGTGAAGCTGGATACATGTATTTCAAAGGGGACAAAGCGACCGGATTTGAGCGTGGCCCGAAGACCAGCCTGTAATGCTTTGTTTATGGGACTATCTGACGTTTGGCGGTCACTTTAGAACTTGTCTAGGTCCAGTACGCGTAAGCTGGCCTTTGGGCCACGCTCAGGCTCTCATTTCCCTTATTGTTTTTGTAATACATGTATTCAACCTCATTTATGCCTTCTACTACCCTTCTTGGAGCCTCGGGACGCTACACAGCCCACCAGTACAAGTGCCAGATATATAATAAAGTGGTCTCCAAATGTCCGTTGGTCACTTAAACAATATAGTACAGTGAGAATTAATAGAATTGATTCATTTGGCATATCAACAATTTATGGAAGGATGGAGGCTATCAGCAAGGCTCAAAGATCATTATATTCAAACAAAAGCGAGGACTTGCAGCGTTGTGCTATGGTAAGTTTTTGAGGTCGAATTACACGGAGATCAATTCCCATTAATTAACATATTGAGATTTCATCATTTCGCACTCTGTGCTTCATTAACATCTACCAGTAGCAAAAAAAGTATCTTAAAGAATTTTTGATTTCCGCTTTAGTCCACGCCAATAACTACTAGTAATAAATATTACAATGATCAGTTTTTTGTTTTAATCATAAAAGTTGTCATAAGCAATTTTGACGCTCCACGCCGTGATGGTTTTGCCGAAGAAGGTCGTGATAGATGGTCTTCCTTTCTGTGATTATATTCCACAGCCATTTACCTCATTGGCTCGAAATAAAAAGGGGCTGATTGCTGCTGGTCGACTAGATGGTTCAATTGATGTTTACGATGAAAGTGATAACTTCTACTTGATCCATCATATACCATCTTGGATCCTAACCTCTATATACGCTATTTGTTGGTCAAATACGCGACTGTTCGCAACTGGTGGTGAGGGTTGCATTTTTGAGCTGAGCGTAGTGTCGATCCACCCAAAGGTATTTGTACATTTCTCTTCGCCTATTTTCAGGCAAATTTACTTCTACCTGGAGGTCTTCCTGCTCGTTCTCTTGTATCCTATGATGGGGGTCTTATCTCCGGCAATGATGGCGGGTACATCAACGTTGTTGAAGTAGCTGATGGGTCCTTTGATCTTAAATCCTGTCTCACAAAAGTGGAAGGTTCGTGCTTATCATTCATGACCATGTTGCAATCAGGGAAGATCTTGAGTCTGGCTGTGGATGAGACGAATGGATTCACAGTTGCTGCTGGTGACTCGGAAGGGAAGATTCATTTATTTGATCTAAGAAATGGTGCAACTCTTTCAGTTTATGCCATTGGCGATGAACATTCCACTGTACTACCCGTTGCTTGGTCGTTGACGTTTGTGGGGTAGGTATTAGTGTATAGCTGAAACTTTTTGGTCATTCTAGTGGTTTTTTTCACAATATTAGCTCTTTTTGTTAGAAATACACTCTTTTCCGGTGACAGTCGTGGTAATGTTTGCGTATGGGACATTGAGGTTGGAGCCCTCGTTTCCAGTTTTAGAAGTCATGCTGCAGATGTTTTAGCTCTTGCTGTCAGCAAGGACAACCAATCTGTTTTTGCCGCTGGTGCCGATCCCATCATTCAGCGCTTCGATCTTTGCCAGACTGGGTGTACATGTGAGTCGTTTTTATTTTGTTTTGTTAAGTCATGGTTGAGTCTAATTTTACGTGCTGTTCGCTATAGCGCAGTGGCAGCCAAGTTGTGTCATAGGGGTCGGCGGGCGTGACATCCGTAGTCTTCTCTTCGTTCAGCGTGGCGAATCAGGATGTCTTCGCCCTTGCAGTGTAGATATGGACCATCTCATTGCAGCGGGTAACGATGCTCGCCTTCAAATTCTTCCCTGTCCTCCGTCTAACCTCGGTGATAAAGTACCTATATCCCGACCGGAATTACAAAAGAGGAATGATCTACCTGATATTCCTGCACCATTCTATCTGCCTTTCTGGCCGCTTTCGGTTACGCCTACTCTGCCTCTGGATATCCACTTTGCACGTTCAACCTTCATGCCAAATTATGGTCATTCTGCTCGCCTTTGCCTTGTGCAGCACGAAGAGTACATGTGTCTATATCGTCTTCCTCCGAAAGCCAAACGAGCGTTTCATTCGAAAGATTCTCTTAGATATTTTACCAAACTAGCTCAGATTCGACCAAAGCAAGGAAGCCGCGTTATTTCCAGTTGTATATCACCTTGTGGAAAGTTTATGGCTTACTCCGATGATGTTCGTACGCGGATTTTAAAAATTGCCCACCCGGTAAGCGGTGGTGGTAAGGTGTAGCTTACAGGGACCAATTTCACCTTACATCATTGATTAAGGCTTTTAATATTTAAATTGGCAGAAGTCCTGGAAGCTTAATCCAAATGATCCAGTTCCATTGGTTAGTATCTCGCGCCTGGGTTGGGCTAGGATTTCGCGAAGACGTTTTCGGGGCCGAGCATCGTCTCTATCTTCCGATTCCGACAATACGGGCTCCGAGGCTGATCCATCCCGATTCCTCTCGCTTGATCAATCCTCTGCTGATCTTTTTGTTAATAATATAGCTGGAAGGGATGTTGATTTTGATGAGCATTTAGTCTCCAGAAAACGCAAGTTGACTACGTCTAAGGTCACGCATCCGTCCGTTGAGGGTTGCCATAAGAATGAGAGTTCCGCCTTGCCTCCTGCCTCTCTCATGGCCTTCTCTCCATCTTCTGCTTGTCTCCTTTGTGTAAGCATTCCCGCTCAACAAGTTGTTTGCCGTAGACTTGATACTGGGGTGGCGATCTGGAAACTTGCACCTCAATCATGTGAGTTTTTTCCGCTTACACAGTTGGTCAAAAGTGTAAAAAACACCACAAACATTTCCTCCAATTTTCCGGATTTATGTTATACTGATGATTGAAGTATCACACTCCAGTACCCTAGATTGATATACTTTTAATTCCATCCATAGCGCTCACAAACGGAACACCCAGTCCAATCCACTTACTAAAAATGGCTCAACTCTGTCCTGAGTCAGCGAATGGTGGGCCTGTGACTCTACTCGCGGTGGCTCCTCTAGGTGAACGCGTGTCGGTATACGCGTTTACCGAGGCGAGCAGCAATCAAGGTCCGCAGCACCTTTTCACATGTCCTCTAGCCGCAGATCCTTTCCAGCCAGGCCGTCACCCGCGTCCTTTGGCGATCGCGCTGCGCGTCACCAGACGCGGGACGGCGGAGCTAGGAGGAGAAGCAGAGGTTGCGGAAACGAGTGGGACGAGGGCTCAAGTTGCTATACTTTACACAACTGGCCAACTGACTGAATGGCGGCTTCCCTTGCGTTTATCCGGGTCTACAGTTCATCTCGTCGGTGCCCCACAGGCTGATACATGGCTAGCGGATTTCTGGCAACGTAACCATGCTGCGTGGCGACGCCGCATGCCTAGATTTCATTCTTTGGATTACTTCTTTAGTAGTCGCATTCTCATGCTGGCTTCGCGACGATTTTGCCTTACTGTCGATCGGCGCAAAGTAAGTCTGACATTGGCACTACCAAATTCCAAAGGGGTTTCGTGAAAACATCTGGACAGTACTCTATTCCCTTAACTGTCTTGTTCTCCCTAGCAAATCACTTCGAACGCCGTTCGTCTGGCCTTTTGCGAGCGCTACCACAAGTCCACCACTGGATGTCTGCGAATTTTCGGTCAACTAAGTGTACGTAACTCCCCACACAGTCTCTTGATTCATTCTAACATTAATCCACGCACTGATTTCCGAAAGCCCTCGCTCCCGTCCCTTACTAGGAGGCAATGCCAACGCTCATTGTATGCGTCAGTCACCCATTCAAATTTAGCCAAGTGCTATTATTTATTTATTTATTTATCATCTATTTCAGTGCTCCTTCTCTTGTAGAATATGTTGCGCTGCACGGTGCTGGCCGATCGAATTGCTGCACTTAAGATGAATGGTCGTGCCGCCATCGATCGTTTGCCGGCACCTCTGAAGAAAAAACGATTTGGAATCTGATCATGCTCCTACATTCATTGTTTATGTATACAATTGTAAATGCAGTGAAATGTACCCCGATTTTCAATTTTCGAGAATGGTGTATACTTTGTATTCGCGCCTTTTCGACTGAACAGGTTAACTTCATTCCACTAACGAGCAATCAAGCTTATATACGAAAGCATTCTTTTCACCCAGGGTTCGCCGAAGATTCGAGTGTAGCAAACCGTGAGGCCAGTGAATTCACGAGTTAAAATCAAGGCATAGAAAAGCAATCTGAATTTTATAATCATACAGGTCAAGTGTTCATTCAATGCTGCGCATGGAAGCAATAATTGCTTGTGTCTTCCTCTTCCGCAACTCGTCACTAAAAGTGCGAAAAAGATATTTTAGCAATTTTGTCTAGCAACTAGCCGAACGGTCGTCAGCCCTGACTGTCTTCCTGCTTTTTGAATTAAGGTTTAGTAAACGCTGTCGCAACTTGCAGTCAGAAGAAGCAAAGGGGTTTCAAACCAAGGCCAGAGAGATGGGGCAATTGGGACAATCGCATTGCTTTGTTGTCATTGTTAATTATTTGGGTGCACAATTCATGAACTCACCCAGCCTTGGTCTTCTTCCTGTCGTGGTCGGCAAGAAATTGAGCATCTCTCCTCAGCTCACGAACGGTGTCTCGCTTCGCCTTAGCCAATTTCTGCCTCAATACCACATTCGTGAGCTTCTTCTTCGGTTTTCTAGCATCCATTCTAAATGAGAGAAAGAACCCGTTAGTTTCACAACACAATACTAACATGAAAAACACCACTCACTTTTGATCAAAGTCTGGCTCTAGCTGAGGCACAAGCCCTGCCTTCTCGAGAGCTCGAGGTGTAGCATTCTTGTCGGCCAGTAATAGCGAAATCTTGTCTTCGGTACTAATGCCCTCTGGCCTAGGCTGCGCCCTCAACTTGGCTACTCTCTCGCACAGCTGTTGAACTTTCGTCACAATGCTAACAGGCAAGTGACCGGTATTTAGGCGATCAAGCGAGAAGCCAGAAAAGACCTGACAAACTGCAGGTGCTGGAAGATAAGCGGCGTAGACTTCAAAAAAAGAGTTCGTTAGGGAAAGACACCTATCCAAGCATGCCAGACGGTATGCTGCCATCTCCTCCTCGTGAATAGACCTTTGGCCTAACGCCACGCGATAATCGAGACTACTAAAGACTGAACTACAATAATAGACAGTGGTTGATCCGACTCATTGTTTAGCATAAACTTACTCTTCAACGGAGGACGCATCCTCAGAAATGAGGAGAATCCCATTGTTCTTGCTTGCTTCATCGATGAGACGCAGGAGGAAAAGCACAGCTTCAGGAACGAAAATCCCATTCATGCGATTGCGTTTATGAAGTTTTATGTTCTGATTATCTTCCCCTCTTAGCTTCTTTGAGATGACATCTGTCAGAAGGATCTGAGTAAGCAGTAGACCACGTACAACGTCTGAAAGTTGCGTTACTACAAGGCCCCGCAGCTCAGCGGCAATCCAGGATACTAGGATGGGCTCGCAAGAGTTGATACGACAAAGGAGACGAAGGTGTGAGTTTTCTGTTCTCGCCTGTTCTGAGGTGACTAGGAATGAATTTTTTTCTCTGCATAAAGATACAAAAACTTTATGCAAACATCCAGGTGGCGATGTGGTAGGTTCGACGACACAACCATGCAAAACCAAATGAAACATTACAAAAATACTGTTCTTCACCTACCCAGCTCTTCTTGCAACGATGGATTCTAAGTTCACAAGCAACCGATTGTTCCTCAATGCCTCAGTTTCGACTTTGGCACCAATAGGAGCGACTGTTTTGCCTGACGAAAATCCTTTTAGTAATCGCCAAACTTCGGAGCGACCTTTGTCCATTTTGTCTGCAGCCTTGGCATTCTAGATGATTCGAGGAAAACCCCACTTATTGTATTCACAACTTTGAAATTTTTGAGGTGGTATGATATTACTTCACTTGAACTAATCCACACGACACAGCCAAGGCTAGTTTGCGCAAGATACCAAGTATACATCAGACCAGCAGACAATGACAAATTGCAAGTCGACGGCAAGCATACGAATAGATGTGAAGCGTCACCTTTGGCTTGAGTTTGGCGAATTTGGCTAGCATAAAGCGGACCTTGTCAGCCCACTCAGAGTCAGCATCTTTAAGCTTCTGACGGTTGGCCTCATTCTCCTCCACACGCTTCAGTCGCTCTTCCTTGGTCTTTGCGATCCTTTCCAAAAGGCTATCATGTTTGTTCAAACGACCGTTCTCGCCAGGTTTTACGGCAGTAAGGAGACCACCAGCAAAAAACTCGTTCTCCACAACATCAGCTATAATAGTAAGTAGGAGGAAATGATTGAGTATTCTAGGGAATTTATTGTTAATGTCAGCACTGCTTAACATTGGTAATGTCGAAAGTACTCTAATTCCTACCCGCCAAAGATCTGAGTTAAAACCTTCCAAGTCTTAACTTCAGATTATCTTGGGTAAAATCAGGTCCAAGCTAATATGAGAAGCACTAGAAACTGACAAGAACAGCTATTTAAAATTGTACCCACGACTTACCAGAAAGACCTCCCAGATCGTCATCAAATGAAGCATGTTTGTTTGTCTTCACAGCACCCATCGCTGCTTTGCTGAAAGAATCATCGTCCATTGATACCATACCTAGCGTCTCCATTTGACGCTGAAATTAAAGCAATGGAAGGAGATTAAATATGTAAAGCAATTTTTGCCAATGAACAATGACCAAATAACTCACCAATTTTTCGATAATGTGTCGACGCAAGGCAGCATCGGATGGCGAGATTGACGGGTCCTTTGCACCAACACGCTTGTCAAAAATCCCCCCCACTTTACCCAACTCTCTCAACTCTCTAGTCAGAAGTCGTTCCCTCTGTAAATGTGTGAAGACCCAAGAAACATAACTTACAGAACCAAGTTTTGACTTCATCGTTCCAGGCCTCAATTCTTTCGCATTTTTGTGTCGTCTTGAGTTTTGAAACTTGGGCTTAGCCATTTATTAAACTAGAAAGAAAGATAGAAACTTCCAGCTCATATTGTGGTGCGCATTAGCAAACCGATACAAGGCAACAAATAAAAAAACCCAGAAACACCTAATGAAACACCAAATGCCAACACTCCACTCTTCGACAAACCTTGTTAAAGGCTTTGACTTTAAAATGAGGGCTGAATAAATACCATCAATGGGAAGTGACAGGGCAGATCAAACTCGCAACAGTACCACGGGCTCAACGAATTTAAACTCCCGGAACTTTCTAATTGTTTAAACAAGCCAGCCCTTGGCTGTATTAAGGCAGTTTATACGACTGGATATTTTTACTATTAGGGATATACAAACGTCAATTAAGTGTCAGTCTCTGTTGCATCCTCCATACTTGAGCATCATTTTGAGAGGCCTTGCATCAACCCTTCTACCTGATTAATTAATCAGTACAATGAACTGGTGAAAACCAGAAATAGTGCAACTTGTTCTCTTATTCAATTAGGTAACACCTCGGTTTCTGTCTTGACTCTGCAGATAAGTAAGTAAGGCTATAAAAATGTATTCAAGAAGGAAAACCGGGACTGAGTTTTAGCTTGGCCCAAAGGCCAGCCTACATAGCCAATAGGAAGATGCATATTCAAGCAACGCCAGTTATACGGCAGTCACACAAAAAAAATGCTTCGTTTATATGACTGCCAGGTGTGTGGCACTTTGGCACTTATTCTGCCCTTGAACGCGTGGGCCGACCTTTGGGCCGGCCCAAAGAACTTTTCTTAGAATACATATATTCTACTTGATGAGAAATCCTTGGGTGTAACAATTACATCTCTTTCGGTTCTTTGAGCGACATCCTTCGTGTTCTCCTTGGTACACACGCGAGTCACCTGTAATATATTCTAGTTGTTTAAGTGGATTTTTATAGGCGAGAGGCGGAAACCAATTGGAAGCGTGGATCACGTGCGCGAGGTCGACGAG